AATAGTATTCCATTGTATGGCTATAACACAATTTGTCTATCCATTCACCTGCTAATGGACATTTGGGTAGTTTCTGGTTTGTAGCTATTATAAATAAAACTGCTATCGACAGTCATACGTATAAAGTATTGGGCAGACAGGGTGCTTGGGGGACTCAGTTGGTTAAGTGTCTGCCTTCGGCTCAGGTCATGATCCCAGGGTCCTCCCTCTCCCCCTCTCTCTCTCTGTCACTCATGAATAAATAAATAAAATCTTAAAAAATAAATAAATAAAGTATTGTGCACACATATGTTTTCATTTCTCTTGGGTAAATATCTAGGAGTCATGTGTGGGTATATGTTTATATACCTTGGGGAATATCTGAGTCATATGTAAGTATATGTTTCACTTTATAAGAAACTACCAAACTGTTTCCAAAGTGATTATACCATTTTATATTCCCATCAGCAAAGTATAAAAATTCCAGTTTCAACCTCCTTCCCAACATCTGTAGGGCCCCTTTTATTCTATTTTAGCCATTCTATTGGTAATTCATTGTACTTTTAATTTGTATTTCCCTAATGACTAGTGATGTTGAGCATCTTTTTATACACTTATTGAGCACATATATTTTCCTTTGGGAAGTGCATGTTCAAATATTTTGCTCATTTTTACTGGGTTGTCTTACTGACTTGTGAGTATTCTTTATATAGTGTATATACAAGTATTTTGATAGATATGTTAAAAATCTCTATCCCCATCTGTAGATTGTCTTTTCATTTTTGTATTTCAAAAAGCGAAAGTTCTCTTTTTTTAAATGAAGTCCAACTTACCATCTCTTTTATATATGTCATGCTTTAATGTTCCAACAAACCTCTGCCTACCCCAAAGTTACAAAGATATTCTATCTGCTTTCTTCTAAAAGTTTTATAGTTTTTGTTTTAATTTCAGATTTTGACATTTACATCTATAATCCATTTTGAGTTAATTTTTGTATATTAAGTGATGTAATCAAAACATTTACTTTTTTCCCAGACTGCCCTGGGTCAGTAACCCAGATTCTGGCATTTACTGTAGACCTTGGGCAACTCAATATTTCTGGGGCTGTTTCATTACCAATAAAATATAGGATTGCTGAAAGGATTTAAGTTAATTTGTGTTTAATACTTGGCACAGGTGAGGTACTGCTAACACTGCAGATATGTATCACATTAGAAAAGTAATCGCCCTGGGAGAACAGGAAAGATGACTGAAAGTGTGAAAGTTAAATTGTATATACATGGAAAGGAGAAAGAAGGCACTGGTTGCTGAAAATGTGCCAGACATTTGTAAGGCATTAAACATCAACTCTCCCCCCACTACCGCCACGTGTTGGGCTGGTGTGTAACTATACAAGACACATAGATTCTAATCTCTCCTAAATTCAAAACCCACTTTAAGTCACCCCTTTGATGTGTGAAATCGAAATTTCTAGGGGCTGGGAAAAATGCTTGCTCTCATTATACAGAGAGCTCAAACTTCTGGTGTAAGAATCCAAACCGCATCATAAGAATCCTTTGTTGGTACAAATATTGCCTGAGGGTTATTACTTTGAAATAAATGCAATTTAATAAAGGTTTATGTAGCACCAAGACTATGGAATCTTAATAACTCCTGAAAAATGAAACTCATATATTCCCTCAATAAAATGTTCATTGTTCAAGCTCATAAGGGCTTCACTGAGAGTGATTCCATTTTCACTACACCAGGCCACAGCATGAGCTTCTTACCATTGTGGTTCCCAAATATCCCTTGAAATTTGCATAAAGGTTTTAACTGCGACCCTTGGAGGCGCTATCTTGGGTGCATTGTCTGCTCAAAATCACCATACACTCCCCATACCCAAAATTAAAATAAAGACCTCTTTTTTATGACTACAGGGAGCTTCTCCACACTTCTTTCAGAGATCGGGCAACTTTAGTCCTCAGCAACCAGCATCAGTGGCTTCCAGTGGCCACCCATCTCCCAAACAAAAGTCAGAAGAAGTCTAAATGGTGAGACTGTGCTCTTAATGTTTTCTGAGGCCCTAAACAACCACAAGCAGAAAAAAGAGAGAAAAGGTCAAAATCAACAACATAACAAAATTTCCCTGTCACACTGATCACTACAAGGTAATGCATGTTACAGAAGGAGAAGCCAAGTTTCTGTCAATGCCCTCCAGCCAAAGGTCACCAGGAACACACAGAGTTGGCTTTATTGCTCTTTGCAATAAGGAGATGGACAAACAGGGAACCGTGGGGCATCTCAATAAAAGGATGTTGAAAAGCACTTCTTATTGGATTTAGTCTTGCGTTAGATGATTGGATAAGGGGGCGCAGTTCAAGGAAGTAGGGCTCTTCTCTGCATTGGATGTTGTCAAGAGTAGGGGCAATTCTATGATTGGAATAAATCTCATCCATAAGATAAAAAGAATGAATCAAGGCAAAAGGTATAATTGGTAAAGAATCAACAGTCGAGGGGCACCTGGGTGGCTCAGTTGATTAAGCATTTGCCTTCAGTTCAGGTCATGATCCCAAAGTCGTGGGATCGAGTCCCGCATTGGGCTCCCTGCTCAGCAGGGGGTCTGCTTCTCCCTCTCCCAAATAAAATGTTGTTTATGTGAATGTGTTGTTCTGTGAAGCCGGTCATGTTCAACAGGACACCATGGTCTAACTGCAAATGTCAGGCCAGCTCCTAACAATGACAGGGCCCACCTGATAGCACAACATTAGTTCCTAGCTGTCATTTTGTCAGTTGTGTGGAAACACACACCAAGGAACATGACCTAGTCTAAAAGATGGTGGATGGCTTCCCTGAGGAACTGACATTTCAACTGAGAGTTTAAAAGATAAAAGGTCTTCTGTTGCCACAGCTCAGGGGTTCACTTCTTTCTATTTCTTTCCACTCAACAATGCTATTTTTTCCTGCAAGTGAATTATGCCTAGGGGCGCCTGGGTTGCTCAGTGGGTTAAGTGGCTGACTCTTGATTTTGGCACAGGTCACAATCTCATGGGTCTAGATGGAGCTCTGCCTTGGGTCCAATGCTCAGCATGGAGTCTGCTTGAGATTCTCTCCCTCTCCTTCCCCCTCTGCTCCTCCCCTCAACCTGCTCTGGCTCTCTCTCTGTCTAAAATAAATAAATAAAATCTTAAAAAAAAAAATCATGCCTAGACAGCATGAATCAAAGCTGGCTTCTCACATCACTCCCAACCTTCTCTAAAATGAGAGCATTCCTTAGCTGTGGAGTTTCTATGGTAGTTGGTGAGAAAATTAATAATAATAGTAGTAGGAGTAGTAATAATAATATGCCAGTTCAATTCAAAAGGAAAGTAAATGATAAATAATGCATACAAAAAATTGGACTAAAGATGTTTAAAGACATTATAAGATTATTGGACAGGAAGTAAAATGATCCAATGTTTCCTTTCAAAAGTGCATTTCTGATGTAGAGTGGGATATTGAAAAATGGAAGACTTGGTCTTCAAAGTTAGTGAGCTGAATTTGATTAGTACCTGAAGCAAAAGTGAGGGAAAAAAAATTGTATATATCCTTTTTTCTACCTCATTTCAAATCTTGATGGTATAAATAAGAAATAGAAGTTTATCCTGCTGCAAAACTCACCTGATCAGAGTCTTTAAGTCTCATGGAATTCCAGATCTTCAGAAGACTTTAGGAGTTTAGAAAGGTTAAAGCCTCGGGTCAACAGGCTGAACGCCCCACCTGCTATTAGACTGAACAATAGATGATTTTAAAAAGATCTTTTTATTATCTGGCAAAATAAAAGTATCCCTCTGAGAACTGGCTGTGCCTTTGCACTGGGAATAGGGTACCCCACTCTTAAATCTAGAACGACCACGAGGGAGTATCTGGGTGACGATGCATTGGGACTTTTCTTACTACTTATGGCTTGGGTATTTGAATTCCCAGTGGCATCTTTATTTTAAATATTTGGTTCTGAGGGTAAACCATAGTAGTAAAATACGGTAGTTGTGTTATTTTGTATTTTTCTGGCCATCGAGAGAGAATGCATTAGTAAACATCTCAAAGTCATTTTTGGTATTTTAGTTATAAGTTCAGGTTTAATTTCAACAAATTAATTCTGATCTCTGAGGGTCCCCTAATTAGTCAAAAATTGTGCTGCATACTTTTGCCTCACTCCCATGCAACAATGTGGTAGAATAAGTATTAATATGCCTGGGTTTTTTTGAAAAAGAAGAGTTAATAAGGAACTATATTATTCTACATACGACGTTTAGTAAATCAAAGTGCTGCTGATGGCGAGAAGCCCAGCATACGAAATAGCACAGGAATCTCATCTCTGACCAAAGACAATCTTCAAAGTACATTAGCACAGGTTCAGAAATAGTGTGAATTCAGAGAGCCAAGCACAGAAGTCCGCAGAGCAGATCTCTTCTACAGATATGGAGATTGAACACTGTTTGACTGCAAATCAATTTCACAGGCACTCATAAAAATGTCTGTGTAATTACAGGGTACCAAACCCAATGCCCAGCATCTGAGAACTAGCCTGAGAAGGCAGGGGCTAATTACTGCCTAGGATATAAAAGGGCACAAAGCACCTGGGAATCTAATTCCAGTTCACTACAACATGCAGCAGTGGGTGTCTAGAAGTTAAAACACTCTTAGATTTCACAGTTCTTTTTACTGATAAATATTTGCCAACATATCTTATATAATCAGACATATTTTAAGAGCTTGTAAGTTCTACTCATTTACAAGCAAGTTGCAAGAGCAGCCTCAGCAGCCGAGGGGCAGGAGAACTGCGCTGCAAGAGAGTCACATTGTCGGGACCCTCTGAACTGTTTTGCTTTCTTTTTTTCCACCGTTCTATTTTGAATATTAAAGGGGAATTTGCTCAATATTTCTGTTTTTGTAAATAATCATTTTTCTTTATGTTTTAAAAAAAGAAAAAAGGTATGGATGTTCATTTTGGCTGTTTTATTATGATGTATAGCTAATGATCTGTCAGGTACTATTAGCTGCTATCTGACGTACCACACATAAATAAACAGTGCAGCAGGCTCAAGACTCTCACCCATTTTGGAAAACAGAGGAACATGACGGTAACCTGCAAAAGGAATCATATCTAATTAGGACAATAAAAATAAACCAGCAGTGTTCTCGATAGTGCTACCAAGAATCTAGCTTTACTAAGCATATGTAAAAACTATAACTGCATAGTTATATTCATCTTGTATATTAATTTCCTAGAAAAAAGAAAATATCTGGTTTCTGTTCTGACTTCTTATTGCCTAACACTGAGCACACAGCTCACACTTCTCCTCCCTCAAAGTGCAGTGTGCTAAATTAGCCACCATCCTTCTGCTGCAGAAAGACTCTGTTTCTGAGGTACCGCTCAGATGGTGATAGAGAAGTAAACACATTGGGACAAGGTAATTGGAGGAATAGCATAAATCACCTCTGCAAGGTGACTGCAACATAAAGGCAGCTCTGAAAGAGTCAAGAAAGGATGATCTTGGGCTCCCAGGCTCTTCTTGAGCTGGCAGAATGAGTCACTGCTTTTCCCTTCTCTCTGATTCCATGCTTTATTTCTTTGTGGTAGTCATGACTACTCTTAATTGAAACAAAAGAGTGATGATCCATGTAAAGAAATGCTCATCCATGCCAAGTTTGTCTAATTTATCTTCCTAGCGATCCCAAACCACAATCCCACCTTCCACATGAGAACACGTTTCTGTAATATACCACTGAGAGAAAATATGTGTCAATACATAAAATTTCCTTTACATCTGACTTTCATTTGGTGTATACATGTGTGTCTTTGGGAAATGTAAGTTCTAATTACCATCTTACTTTTTGGAATATTACCTTTGTTCATGCATAGAACTGGTAAAGTATATTGGCCAAGAAATTCATTTCCGGTTATTAAACCTTGATTTTCAACAACAAAACGTATCAGAGCCAATTCTGGCACCTGAATAATGAATGTGAATGTTTCATTCCATCTTGGACAAAGAGCTGAAATATAAAGGAAGATATCATCAAAGAATCATAGACACTATCTCTAGGGAGTAATGTATGGTATCTGTTCTCTGAAATTTTTCTTTTCAACACTTAGTAATATTAACAGCTTATGTTTTAGAGCACTTAAATTTTTCACGCATCCAATGAGAAAGGAATAATAATGACAGTAACAATAATTATTGGGTTTTTAGTATTGCTGGGCAATACGATAAGAACTTCAAGTAGATAATCTCATTTCATCCTTACAACAAACCCATCAGGGTTATTAGTATCCATATTTACAGATGAGAAAACTGAGCCAGAAAGATGTTACGTAACTTCCTCGGGGTTTCACACACACAGCCATTAAGTGGCAGGACAGGAATTCAAACAAATGGAGTCCGATTTCAGAGCAGAAACATTTCATCACTAGGCAATATGACTGCTGTGTTTAGGCATTACCCTAACAAAAGAGTTAAATAACATCATTTTTCTATACTGGCTCCTATTATGGGAAGAGCTCCATAGACAGTTGTTGGCCTGAGAGCTAAGTACTCCAAGGCCAGCCTTTGATCCTTCTTCTGAGTAAGTGTTCATTTTAAAGTCCCAAGTAGATGAGTCATTTAGATCTCCAGCAAAATAATCATCCCAAACAACCATCTCTTGCCAAGTAAGAAATCCAAATTGTGTCACAATATGACCCAAATCATCCAATACTTAAGCATAATTTAATGGAATCAAGAAATTCACATCCAGATCAAATATACAGCCTACTTAGATTCAGAGAAAAATAATATGTATTGCTTTCATGTACAAAGGTAATGCTATGCTTGCTATGTCGATAGGTTTTGTTCTTTGAGTTACCTTTCCAGAAGTATGAAAGAATTTGTGACTAATTATATTTTCTGTTTTCTGTGGTGCATCTGTGGGCACAGGCACACATTTGCCAGATAGTAATCCAGGATGCAATCTATGCCCATGAAAATATTAAACCAATTGACTCATGCTGGTATAATGAATGTATTGTCTTTCCTTAAGAAAAGAAATAATTCCATGGAGTGCAGGGGCAGATCTAAGAGTCAGTTCTTTTTTTATTTTTTAATCTTTTTATTAACATATAATGTATTATTTGTTTCAGGGGTACAGGTCTGTGATTCATCAGTCTTACACAATTCACAGTGCTCACCATAGCACATACCCTCCCCAATGTCCATCACCCAGCCACCCCATCCCTCCCACCCCCCACCACTCCAGCAACCCTCAGTTTGTTTCCTGAGATTAAGAGTCTCTTATGGTTTGTCTCCCTCTCTGGTTTCATTTTGTTTCATTTTTCCCTCCCTTCCCTATGATCCTCTGTCTTGTTTCTCAACTTCCTCATATTAGTGTCAATTCTTTATAGACTCTTTAAAATGTGCACAAAATTCTTATAGTGATTTATCTTCCTCCTCTAACCCTACTTCATTATAAACTCTCTCTCTCACACACATACACATATAGATCATATGTATTATATGCAAAAGCCCTTTTAGGAAAGAAAGGAAAGAAAGAAAAAAAGAAAGAAAGAAAGAAAGAAAGAAGAAAGAAAGAAAGAAAGAAAGAAAGAAAGAAAAAGAAAGAAGAAAGAAAGAGAAAGAAAGAAAGAAAGAAAAAGAAAGAAAGAGGGGCGCCTGGGTGGCTCAGTCGTTAAGCGTCTGCCTTCGGCTCAGGTCATGATCCCAGGGTCCTGGGACCGAGCCCCGCATCGGGCTCTCTGCTCGGCCGGGAGCCTGCTTCTCCCTCTCCCACTCCCCCTGCTTGTGTTCCCTCTCTAGCTGTCTCTCTCTCTCTCTGTCAAATAAATAAAATAAAATCTTTAAAAAAAAAAAAAGAAAAGAAAAGAGAAAGAAAGAAAGAAGGAAGAAAGGAAAGAAAGAAAGAAAGGAAGGAAGGAAGAAAGAAAGAAAGGGAGAAAGGAAGGGAGGAAGGAAGGAAGGAAGAAAGAGAAAGGAAGGAAGAAGGAAGAAAGGAGAGAGGGAAGGAGGGAGGGAGGAAGGAAGGAAGGAAGGAAAGAAAGGGGGAGAGGGAGGGAAGGAGGGAAGGAAGGAAACCAGGATAACAATTTGATAGTTACAAGCATAGTTTTCTCGGGCATGACCAAAACTGAAGAATTACTTCCACACCTTATCCAAATGTGATCTTTTTTCCTTCCAGACTCTCATTTCTCTTATTATACCGCAATTACTCTAGGAGCTAAGCCATCCTAGAATCCCTCTTGTCCCGCTATCTAGACTTTTATTCCTGCTAGTCTTCCTCATATACATCCTCCACCCCTTTTCTGATGCCATGGGCCTTCTTTGACTGGAATTCCCCATCCTCTAGCCATGAAATCATATCCTGACTCTATTTTGTATTTTCATTTCTCTCGCATACACTTCTTCCTATCAAATCTGCAGAAACAATCTTCCTAAAACTCAAGTATGTTAGTGCTATATCCCTGTTCAAGAGTTTTAATTTTGTTCATTTTCTACAGAAAAGAAATTACCTAACATCTTATCATGGCTTTCACAATTTTCCATGGCCGTACCCAACATAACTTTCTCATTTTATCTTTAAGGACCCTGTATTCCACCCATATTAAATTTCTGTATTTTTCCCTAGCATATTTGAATTTAGTCTTCTCCAGGTGTTAGGGCTCATATTATTCCTTTTGCCTTCAATGCCTTCATCCTCAATCTCTGTAAAAAATTCTATTCATTCTCCAAGAACCATCTCCAAATTTGCCTGTTCCACTACAATTCTCATATTTTCCTTAAAACACTAATGACTTTATCATAATTGTTTTATTGTATCTCATCTCTCATGCCAAATTGAGAACTATCTAAAATAGAGTTGATCGGGACATACATAGTAATATGTTTAATAAACAGAGATTTTAAGTTTCTTTGATACTTATCACCAGGATTCTAATAAAACAGGCTCAGTATTGTTAGATAAAGCAAATTTAATTTCTGTAGGAATATTTCCATAAAACCCAGGGATATAATCTAAATTCTAATGGGAGCTAGAATCATATTTTGAGAGGTGCATTGAATAAACAAATGTTCCGTGCATTTTGTTATGAAGATTCAAGTAAGGGGATGAAGAGAACAAGAGATAGGGTACTATACGCTTCCTGACATAAGCAATTACCATTTTGTGACACCGCCATCGTAGTATGCCTTCAACTCTAAGGCATGCCAAATAGTGCAGTGAGTCTTCACCAATATCCCTTCCCATAGATAACCTAGGATGAAGTAGCCAAAACTTCCCACATCTTCTTTCCATACCCTTTGCACTAGGGGGACACTGGAGGAGTATTTGGGGTGTCACTACAAGGGGCAGATGGTGGATATTATTGGAGATCATCACCCAAGGAGAAAAAGACTAATACAACTGCACCTGTTTTTCCATTGGTGCCATTTAACCTGGCACATATTTCCAGACTCACAAATGAAGCCCACTCTACTTTGGGAATATCCACCCAAAGAAGATTTTAGACTCAAGAATCAGTTCCTAGGTCTCCTCCAAGGTGACCCTGACTAAAGGTCAATCCCAGGAATCTACACTTTAATATCCTTAATGATTTCACCCTCAACGAAGATGTGACGCTGTCAGTAGTGTATTATATAAAATATCACGGGATGCTGGAACTGAAAATCTTACCCAAGTCATTTCTTCCATTCCTACATTTCCCTTCTGGCAAAAATGACTAAATTATGAACCCAAATATTGTATGAGTAGGTTTCTATGGCATCCTTAGCCAGAGCCAAAAGCCACAGACCTTTGATCTAAAATAATTCAAACAGTGAAATAAAAATGGGTAACATACTATATCAGAATAATCATACGTTCTTTATTTTACACAAAGGTTAGAAGCTAAGTAGATTTGCAGCCATCAAAATGTCCCTTTAATTCAGCAATATGGGAAGAAACATGAAAAGGAGGTCAAAGGGAAAAAAAATAGTAATTTTTCAGGTCAGATAAATTTTTGTATCTGTAATCTGAAAATATATCTAAACAATACATTGAATCACTATCAAATTGTTTTCACTGCATATAACCCTTTGGTCAGCTAAAACCTAATTCAAAGCCCTTGCCTTAGGAATAATAAAGATGTCTCAAAACTCTATCACTAGATAAATTTTAAGCTTTCAAACAAGAAGCCTAGTAGAAGTTCAATAAAAATATACTGGGAGCTCACCATTTCTTTTAATTACACGAGTCTGCCGTTTCACATGATCATTTGGAACACCAAAAATTTCTAGAACCACTAGTGTGTCAGCTTTGTTAGATGATGAATGGTTACTGGGAGGTAACTGGATACCACTGATGAGCTGCACAAAAATATTTGAATGCAAAAATTTAAAAGGATATCAAACTGCATAATCACATAATTTCAAAATAAAATATGTATTCCAAAAAGATAATAGACTCTCAGTTCCCACAAAAAAATTAAAAGTGGAATATAACACAAATTTTAAAATTTAACTCTTATCCTCAAGTGTCAGTAAGTGAATACTAGGAATATGTCTATATTATTCCACTTTACTAATATATAGTTATAGTAAAATTCACATTGTCTGGGATTTATAGTTCAACATTTTTTTAATTTTTAAAGTCTTTGTTATGGTTGTTATAAGGCACTGCTTAAAAGTATTGTTAGAATCATAGTCTACTGTAATTCAGCTTGAATTACTCTGAAAACATGAACTATCTTGAAATTCATACTGTATGTAAACAGCCAAAAATTAGAAACAATATTAATACTACTTCTGAAATGTAAGAAAAAACACTGCATAATTTCCTATGACAGTATTTTTTCATAGTATAATTTATGTTTGGATAATTTATGATAAAATTTTATATTATCTATTATTGTCAGTATTATCATAAGTAATTTGAGTCTGACAAAATCAATGATTTCATATGTATATTAGGGACTGGGTATCAGAAGAACACTTAAAGTAATTAACAATAGTTTCATTTAACCTTGTATTAGTCAAACTAGCTGTTGAAGCAAAGTTTTGTCTTACTTTAGGGAACAAAGTCCAAACAAAAACACTATTTCAAAGTGCACTAATTTGTAAAATGTACTAATATAAAAATTCAGGCATAATTTCAATTTCTGAACATTATAATAAAAAGGAACAAATAAATAATTGTTTGAAAAAAAAGAAAGGAGGAAGGAAAGAAGAAAGGAAGAGAAAAAAAGAAAAAGAAACAGAAGAAGTGCCAATGTATAATTTTTCCTTTCCTACATCCACACATTATAACATTAGCTGGAAACCAGAGTGACTATGTAAATATTTAACAACAACTATGGAATGGGCATTGATCAATCAGCCTAATTAGACATCAGGGAAGTTGGAACATTGGCCATAATCAATAAGTACACTGATACCAGAGCCTCCCAGCTGAGTATCTCCTCCGCAGGTAACAGACCCTTACCAATATGGAGAAGGTTCGGCTTTGGTGCACCTTGTGTCAAAAAATATATAAAATAAAAAATAATAATAATTGAATATCAGAACTGAAAAAGAATTTAGAGTCTATTATTCAAATACTTTTTACACTCTGAGTCACAGAGCCCTTCCAGGTGCCACCACGGAGATAGATGTCAAAAAGAAAACCCTTGATGGTCAACTAGAGTACCTCTGCTTTCATCTATTGGCCTTATGCATAAGATTTTGAACTTAGAAAATGGTTGTATCGTATTTATAAGTTTGAGAATGATTGACCTAATCCAAAACTCTCCATTTGCAGATGACAGAGATTAAACCAGAAATGTTGAAATGTCTTCATCAAGGACATAAAGCTAATGGTAAAACTAGGTCTCTTGATTCCCAAGTCATGCCTTCCACAACTTGTACAAGTTGTAATCAAAGCTCTCCAGGACGATCAAAGCAAGAGAGAAGAACCCACATGGCTATGGCAGCAGTTTGCCAGGAAAATCATTAATCCTGCCTGTTTTATTACCTACATCCCTATATGCCACTTACATCCCTATATGAGACCCTTCAGAAACAAACAGGTGGCATCTGTAAACATCTGTGCATACTAGCTATCTTCCATCTTTGCTTTCTCAATGAAAGAACACATCTGTTGTCCTTACTATTTCTAACTTACAAAAGCAATCATTCAATTAACTTACATATATTGAGCATACACTTTGTGTCAGGCACTGTGGATAAGACTTGAACAAAACACAGTCTTTATCCTTCCAGGGCCTTCAGAAAAGTGGGGGAGAAACACAAGTCCAAGTAAATAAACAATTACAGACATACCTCATGTTATCGAGCTTTGTTTTACTCTATTTTGCAGATATTGCATTTTTTACAAACTGAAGGTTTGTGGCAATTCTGCATTGAGCAAGTCTATGGGCACCATTTTCCTAACAGCAATTGCCCACTTCATGTTTCTCTGTCACATTTTTGTAATTCTCACAATATTTCGAACTTTTTCACTATTATATTTATTATGGGGATCTGTGATCAGTGATCTTTGATGTTACTGTTGTGATTGTTTGGAGGTGCCACCAACCATGCCCATATAAGACAGCACACTAATACATGTGTGTGTTCTGACTGCAGATGGGGTGGAGACAGCAAGAGAACTACAGTCAGAATTGGAGCCCCAAGATGTGACTGAATTACTCCAATCTCATGGTCAAACTTGAACAAATGAGGAGTTGGTGGATGAGCAAAGAAAGTGATTTCTTGAGCTGGGATCTACTCCTGGTGAAGATGCTGTGACGATTGTCGAAATGACAACAAAGGATTTAGAAGACTACATCAACATAGTTGACAAATGGTACCACAGCCACCCTGACCTTGAGCAACCGCCACCCTGACCTTGAGCAACCACCACCCTGATCAGTCAGCAGCCGTCCACATCCAGGCAAGACCTTTCACCAGCCAAAAGATTGTGACTCGCTCAAAGCTCAGATGATGGTTAGCACTTTTTAGTGACAAAGTATTTTTAATTAAGGTAGGTACATTGTTTTTTTAGACATAATACACTGCACATTTAATAGACTATAGTATAAACATAACTTTCATATACTCTGGGAAACCAAAAAGTTCATTTGGCTTGCTTTATTGTGATATTCACTCTATTGTGGTGGTCTGGAACCAAACCTGCAATATCGCTGATGTATACCTGTATAATACATATTATGGCATAGGGTGTTATGGAAAAACAAAACTACAAAAAGAAGCCTAACTAATTTAGGGTAGGAAAAAAAAAAACTTCTGAAAAGAAGTGACCCTTGAGTCTTGAAAAATGAGTCTGAATGCAACAGGCAGGTGAAGGATGGGAGAATGACCCAGTCAAATGAAAAAGCATATGTAATGCGTGGAGGTGTCATATGGTTACAGAACAAGGTGCAAGATTAGAAGTGGAGAGAGATGGGCCTAGAGAATTAGGCTAAGCCCTGACTGAGAAAGCAAGCAGGACACCCAAAGAAACATTAAGTAGGCACAATGAGATTAGCACTGGGGCACAATGTCTCTGGGCAATTTGTGGAAGATGAATCAGAACTGAGACAGGCTATGTGAAAAACCCTTAGGAGGCCAAAGAAATAAATGTGATGACAGGTAACAAATTCCTTAAAAAAGGGGGAGGGGGGTCAGTGGCAAATGGCATCAGACCAAGGGATTGGATAAGGATGACATTTCTAATCAATAAAATTTAGAGATGGGACATGGGAAGTGACAGATGTGGAAGAGAAGAATGCTTCCCAATTTTCTAGCCTGAATTAATTGACACAATGAATTCAATGGAGATCACTGACATTTAAAGAAAATAAGATTGGACTAGGAAGGGATGTTCAGCCTTTAATATATTAAGCTTGACAGAACAAGGATTAAACAGGTAAGGATGTTAAGTAGGATATTTAAAATATGTCTTTACATTCCAGAAATGAAGGCAGATTGAAGATTTGAGCACTGTTGGTAGTTGAAACCATCAACGTATATAAAAGGACACAAGGAGAATATTTAGTTTGAGATAAGGATTAAGAAAAAGCCTTAGCCTAACAGACACATGAAAAAATGCTCTACATCACTTGGCATCAGGGAAATACAAATCAAAACCACAAGATATCACCTCACACTGGTCAGAATGGCTAAGATTAGCAAGTCAGGAAACGAGATGTTGGCGAGGATGTGGGAAATGGGGAAACCTCTTGCACTCTTGGTGGGAGTGCAAGCTGATGCAGCCACTCTGGAAAGCAATATGGAGGTTCCTAAAAAAGTTAAAAATAGAACTACCTTATGATCCAGAAATTGCACTACTAGGTATTTATCCAAAGGATACAAAAATAGTGATTCAAAGAGACACATGCAACCCAATGTTTATAGCAGCAATGGCCACAATAGCCAAACTATGGAAAGAGCCCAGATGTCCACCGACAGATGAATGGACAAAGAAGTGGTATATATATATATATGTATATGCTTACTTTGAGTAGTATTCCATTGTATATATGGATATATACAATGGAATACTACTCATCCATCAAAAAGAATGAACTCTTGCCATTTGCAGCAACATGTATGGACTAGAGGGTACTATGATAAGCAAAATAAGTCAAAGAAAGACAAATACCATATGATTTCACTCATGTGGAATTTAAGGAGCAAAACAGATGAACAAAGGGGAAGGGAAGAAAAAATAAGATTAAAAACAGAGAGGGTGGCAAACCAGAAGAGACTCAACTCTGGGAAACAAACTGGGGGTTGCTGGAGACTAGGTGAGTGAGGGGATGGGGTACCTGGGTGACAGGCAGTAAGGAGGGCATGTGATGTAATGAGCACTGGGTGTTATATGCAACTGACGAATCACTAAATTTTACCCCTGAAACTAATAATATGCTATATGTTAACTAAATTGAATTTAAATTAAAAAATTTTTTAAAAAAGAAAAAGCCTTAACAACATAAATACTTCAGAGGCAGGTAGAGTAAAGGAGCCCACAAATTTGAGAAAGAAAGAATCAGTTGGGAAGAAGAGAAAAAAAGAGAGAGAGAGAGGGAGAGAGGAAAGCCCCAGATGCACAGCAAGGAGATTTGTGAGGAGTAGGAGGGGACCATACAAAGTGGCTGATTCATCCCTTTTTCTCACTAGAACAGCTACTACAATGACTAGATTAGGTGTTTAGAACAATGTAGCCTTTCGCATTTTTTCATTCACGCAAAAAAACAACAGGCAGACACTGGTACAAATGTGGAAAATGTTGAAATACCACCCACCTTACAGGGGCTAAAGAGATCAACAGAAATTTAAAGGCCCTAAAGGAAGTCAATGGAACTTAAAATATTAATGTATACTTTCTAGCTTATATCATAACCAAAAAGTAAAAGAAAAAGTTATTAATCTTTTAAATTTTTGTATTAAAAAAATACAAAAAAAAAAAGGGTGCCTGGGTGGCTCAGTTGGTTAAGCGGCTGCCTTCGGCTCAGGTCAGGGTCCCAGGATCCTGAGATCGAGTCCCACACCTGGTTCTCTGCTCATCGAGGAGTCTGCTTTTCCCTCTGTGCTCTCCCTCTCTCTCAAATAAATAAATAAAATCTTAAAAAAAATAAAAAATAAAAAAAATGCCAAAGTTATGATAATATTTGCAAAGTAAGCTTAATGGAGAATATTTTGCTGGATCCTAGAAAGAGTGCCAACTAATTGATTTGGGGCAGCATCCAGTGCTGGAGGCAATTTCTACTATATGCCCCTACTTTTCTACCCTACATGCCCCTACTTTTAGAGTCACAGAATCCAGAGCGTGTGGGTAGCTCAGTCAGTTAAGCACCCACTCTTGATTTTGGCTCAGGTCACAATCTCAGGTTTGTGGGATCAAGACCCACGTCAGACTCTGTGTTCAGCATGGAGTCTGCTTATCCCTCTCCCCCACCCCCTTGCTTACATTCTCTAACTCTCTTAAAGAAATAAAATCTTTAAAAAAAAATTTAGAGTCACAAAATCCCTAACAACCAAGGAAAAAGTCAGCTACATACATCACTGGTACTGTTTCTCTCAGGGGCTGAGATCATTTCTTTCTCATTCAACTTTGCTCTACTCTCTTTCCACATTAATCTCTGAAAGACAGCAACATCTCTTAAATCTCCATTCTAAGCCAGGACAAAAAGGCTAGGGCCGGAAGTGGATGAAAGTGGTCCCCCAAGTCCTGTGACATCAGGACAGTAGAGGAAGGAGCCGAGAGAGGAAGGTTTATGAAGGGCATGCAGTCTGGGTTAGAGCGTCTCCTGCACTCTGACCGCCAGGACGCCAGAGCAGGGAAGCTCCCACCAGCCAGCACAGCCAGCAACACTCCCCTCAATCAGAACAGCAAACACAAAAGTCCTCACCAGGGACAGCAATACAAGTACCAAAATTCCAGAACAGAATCTGAAATGGTTCATACGGTTCTAGGAGCAACCAGCTAAACCAAGAGAGGGACCAAAGAGCCCTACCCACCCAATTTGTTACAAACCATAGGTTTGTAGATACAATCTAAAATAGAATTGCTGGGGTGCCTGGGTGGCTCAGTTGGTTAAGCGTCTGCCTTCGGCTCAGGTCATGATCCCAGGGTCCTGGGACCGAGCCCCATATTGGGCTTCCTGCTTAGCGAGAAGCCTGCTTGTCCCTCTCCCACTCTCCCTGATGGTGTTCCTTCTCTTGCTGTCTCTCTCTCTGTCAAATAAATAAATGAATGAATAAATAAATAAATAAATAAATAAATAAAATATTTTAAAAAATAGAATTGCTTATAACTAAGTGGAGAGAAAAAAGCTAAGGGCTTTTTAGAAGATTCAGGGACATTTAAAAAAAGGAAATAAATAGCACTTAAGTTATAGAAAAATAAGAAAGTTTTCAGAAAGTCTATACTTTTTGGAAACAATAAATTTTAGACAACTACTTTGCTCCCAATAAAATCACACAGAATCTAAGAAGACAGGGGTTGGGGGGTGGGGAAAGACGCTGGATAGGATACAGACAGAAATAAAAATGAAGCAGCATGAGGTAAATAAAAATTGGAGGGGAGAAACTGATAATGCAGGAGAAAAATTCATATCTACATTAGAATTGGTAAAGAATAAAATCAAATATGGAAGAAAACCAAAGGCAGAAAAAAAGAGACAGTGATAGAGTTGACAGGAATTAGTAAACATGCAGGCAGATACTCAAGAAAAGCATACGGATAACTTTTGGTTTCCAAATACTAATCAAAGAATATTCAGAGACAAGGGGTTAAAAATCTGGAACTGTGAAAGTCTAATGCTGGAGATTAATGACAAAGCAAAGAGCTCCTAAAATTTTCTAGTAAAATTCTATAAAGTTAAGGAGGGAGAGAGTCGCATATCTACAAGGTAACTCGTGGGCTGAACTCAGACTTCTCTATCACAATATTAAATGCCTAACGACAATGGGATAATATAGACTTTGGAGAGGAGAAGCTTTCAGCCTCAATATTTCTATTCACAAGCAGGTAATCATTCATGCAAAAAGTCAACAAAAAGTTTTTCAGATATGGAGCGATACCGAAAAAGATGAACAGAAATTTTTTTTTTTAAAGATTTTATTTATCTGACAGATAGAGAGACAGCGAGAGAGGGAACACAAGCAGGGGGAGTGGGAGAGGGAGAAGCATGCTTCCCGCCCAGCAGGGAGCCCGATGCGGGGCTCGATCCCAGGACCCTGGGATCATGACCTGAGCCGAAGGCAGACGCTTAACGACTGAGCCACCCAGGCACCCCAAGATGAACAGAAATTTAGAGGACATTAAAGGAAATCAATGGAAGTCAAAATATTAATGCAGACTCTCTAGCTTCTATAGTAACCTCCCCCAAAAAGAAAAAGTTATTCATCTTACCCTTATCGTAAGTGTAACTGGATCAATGTCTTTTGGTGTTTCATTTGGATTAAACTCTGTTTTAATATCTCTTAGGAAATGTGGTTTCAAAATATACCCAGAACAACCATTATCCAAAAATTTCCCATTTTGAAGATCCATAGGCAGACCAGGGGTCTGGAAATTTAAGGCCACTGTGAGAAAAAAGTATTTTGTTATTGTCAGGAAAGAGAGGGTACATTAAAGAAACACAGCTCAAAGATTTACTGAAACCGAATCATGGATTTTATATGTCCAAACATTTTAAGAGTGAGCATCATTAGCCAAATAATTTCTGATTTTTAAACATGTCTTCCTGCTATGTGTATATTAATGTATGAACGTGGGTTTTAATTTTTAAATTATTTTATAGCTTTGGTTTAAACATCAGACTGATACACAGTATAGATTACAGAATAGCAATGTGTAGGTCAGATGACATTCAGGAGATATGAGAATAGAGAAAATCAGTACACTTAATGCCAGAAGGAAAGACACTGAGTATATTTTAAATTTTCAGGCCCAAAGAGATACTGTTATCACTTGAAGAGGAAGTGGGAAACAAGCAGAGCAATAATTGGTGTTAAAATATAGAAGTCCCTCCATGGAAGTTGGTAAAAAGCCACTGTATGCAGTACCATCCTCCACTTCCCCTAATACCCCCTCACCCACCTATCCTAACCCTACTCTCCCCCTCCCTCCACAAACCGATGGGCATTGCCAAGCCAGGAGCAGAGGCGTTCACACCTAGGACCCTCTGACTGGTTAGTGCCTGTGCTGTAACAGTGAATCAATTTGGAATAGGGAGGGTCTGGTAAAGACAAGTAACGGAGCCACGTAATCTCATTCACTTTTCAATACTGTGAATGCAGAAGCTTGTGTAAAGTATAAAAGGCAGAGGTCCCTTGATTTAAAGAAGCCCTTAGCAAATCTTTCAAGCAAAGGATTTGATATTCACTGTCCTCTTACATCCATTTTGATGTCTTTTTTCCCTTCCTACCCTTCCAATGCCAACTCTCCATGAATTGAACTTCCATGCCCCTAACCCTCACTTAGAGTTACCCTCTCTGACCCATTTAGGAATAACTTCAGCTCTTGAAACTAATGATTCGTCATTATTGCCTGACCCTAAAACACCCAGGGCCAAAAAAATCTACTTGGGAAGCTCTTTTCATAAATCTTTCATTAATTCACAAAATGAACTTATTTTATCTTATTTTTGCAGAAACTCAATATTCTATATAACATACCCATTTGACAACCTATATTCCAAAATTCTTGAGGATTAAAATTAGAGGAGTCTGTTCTTGTTGCTTTGGGATAAATTCTGGTAATGAACTTGCTGGTGTGAAGAATAAACTCGTGGCCTAAAAAAATATATATGAGAACATCATGAAAGATTTCAAATAAATAATAAACTGCTATGCTTCTATATATTATATAATTCTACAATTGTTTCAGTACTTTTGATACGTATGTCTTAGCAAAAATATTTGTAATTCATGGAAATCAAAATAAATCCATGCCTTTGTTTGACAGTGTAATTCACTGTTATTGAGAAGTTAATAATTTTTATTATACAATTTTATGTATATTAATCATTCACTTGAGGAAAAATGATTAAATAATATATTTGTTTTTCACATCCAAATTAATCTCACTTTGACATAAGAATATATAAAATTTTCAAATAAAATGCATCCATGTTTTAAAAAAAAAGTTGTATCTTTCTCCATTTTGTCTTTTTTTTTACTTTGGTTTTTGCATTAGGGCAGAATCACATGTAAGTCATATAAAGATATATAATGCCATCCAAATTAATCCAGTTGAATAACCAACAGATTCTCAGGGTTGAAAGGGATGTTAAGTTATTCAGTTCAGCTCCCAACCCTAATCACCACAGCATCTTCCCTCAAAATTCCTTCAATCTCTGTTTGCATCTCTCCATTGAAAGAGAACTTGCTATCTCCCAGTACAGCAGTCCCCCCTTATCCGTGGTTTTGCTTCCGGTGGTCTCAGTGACCTACAGTCAACCAGAGTCTGAAGCAGATGATCCTACTCCTGACAAATCACCAGAAGTTTGCAAATACCCTACAATCATTCATCTCATCTCATCTCATCACGTAGACATTTTACCATCTCACATAATCACAAGAAGGGTGAGTGAAGTACAATAAGATATTTTGAGAGAGATCACATTCACATAACTTTTATTACAGTATATTGTTACGATTGTTCTATTTCATTATTAGTTATTGTTGTCAATCTCTGTGCCTAACTTATAAATTAAATTTATCATAGATGGAAGCCTGCTTCTCCCTCTCCCACTCCCCCTGCTTGTGTTCCCTCTCTCACTGTGTCTCTCTCTGTCAAATAAATAAGTAAAATCTTAAAACAAAACAAAACAAAAAAACATAGTATATGTAGGGTTCAGTGCTCCACAGTGTCAGGCATCCACTGGGGGTCTTGGAATGTGTCTCCCATGGATAAGGGGACTACTGTAGTTCTGATTATTTTCAAATGTTTTCCTTACTGAGATAAGGTCTATACTTATAATACACATACACACACACACACAGTCCATTTGTTTCTCTATTTTTTATGTTTTTACTTATCTATTTTTATAAGTTTCTATTTATATATGTTCTACCTAAATCACTTGAGATTCAAAACTAATATGTACTAATTTGTACCCTTTACCATTGGACATCCTTCAAATTTTTGGACATAGATTTCGTGTTTCTCCAAGGCTTTTATTCTTTCACTAAGCAGATCCTGTTCCCACAACTACTCCTGCTAATACGATGATCAGTATAGGGAGAAATGGTTACTGCCTGGGGCCCACTACATTTGCTGGTCAAACTGGAATTGAATTGATGCCACCCTCATTCCACATACTCTTCTTTAGGAAGCATTGTCAAGTAGAAAAATTATAATTACTGAAGTTAATAATTATAATCAACTTCATCAGCTCTCAATTTTAGAAGTTATACACTCCTTGAGAGAAAGAAAGCTACTCGCGTATAAAGGCACCATGTTGTCCAACTATCATGATCCCTTATCCAGCCCTAAGCAAGATATTTATCTTTTGGTAAGAAGTGTACTCTTCTGGATCATAATTTTCCTATCTACAAAGTGATAAACACAAATGATCACGAAAGACCCTTAACATAATATGATCTAGTTACTTCTGAAATTGACCTTTAGAAATTAAACATGTTATGTTATTATAAATGCAATTTATGTTCATCTTAGATAAATGAGAAAATCAAAAAAATAAGAAATAAAACTAATACAATCTCGTCACTTAATTAATAACCAGTAACCCTTGGTATATATCTTTCCACTCTGTTGTCATAGGTATATTCTTATTTTTTAATTGAATCATATTGTTTGTTCCCTTATATAAACTTCCTTTTTTTAACTTAAAAATAACATAAAAAATCATTCCATTTCAATACTATTCACCTACTACATTATTTTTAAATGACTGAAAAGTATCCATGCATATAAAAAGTTGTTTGTTTCTTATTTTTCTGCATTATAAAATTAGTAACATTTAAGTTTTTAATAATAATGGACATTCTTCGTGCCTGGGTGGCTCAGTCGGTTAAGCATCTGCCTTCAGCTCAGGTCATGATCCTGGGACCGAGTCCTGCGTCAGGCTCCCTGCTCCACAGGGAGTCTGCTTCTCCCTCCCCCCTCCCCCCACTCGTTCTCTCTCTCTCTCCCTCTCTCTCTCCCAAATAAATAAATAAAATCTTTTTAAAAAATTAAAAAAAATAATGATGGACATTATCTTAGAGTACACCTTTGCCCACATCATTAATTATTTGTCATTGGATTTTGGTGCAAGAAAAATGCCCTATACTCTTTCCAAAGAAATGGTGGTGCTACATTTTATGACTCTATTCAGAACCGCTCAGTGCCTTTTTAAATTTTGAGCAGGTGTCTAATACAATGAGAGTGAGAGAATTATAACAACTTTTGTTGTGCCCAGAGGGCTTGTCCCCTTGAGAAACAACAAAAACTATCCAATAATTTAAAAGAATAGAGACTAGCAAAGTAGGTCATTCAAGTTCAAACTCGGCCGACAATACTCACAGTAAGAAATATATCTTATATCACACCCAACACACAATACACACACATAATTGTTTCATAAAATAATACTCTTATTGCATCTCCATTATTCTATTCTATTCCATTCTATTCTACTCTATTATTTTAATGGTGGTGGTTCAGATTTACTGAATTGATTTTTGATCATCATCTACAGCTTAAAAAACAAACAAAAAGAGCCTAAAATATCCAGAGTCAGTTTGAAGAGATGAGCTGCAGTATGCCTCAAAACCCTTGGGTGCCAGTGGCCAGCCCAAAGCGGTTAACCAACAAATATATCAGAATCCGCATTTCCAAACAGCCAACAGCTGGTTTGAGTCAGTTGCAGGTGCTGATTTGCCTGCCATGGTGTTTCTATACAGGACGGTAGATTGCATTTTTTAAGAAGGATTTGGAGAGTCACTTGACTGCTGAGTTAATTGCCCATCCCTTTTTTCCCCCCCCTTCTTAAGTTCAGGTTATCCTCGATCATATAAGTCTGAGAATAGGGTAGAGTCGGCTTCCCATTCTCTTTCCAAGGCCTTGTTGCATCTTTGGCTCTAGCAAACAGAATAATCCACCTCGGGTTCAGAATCAGAAGACAGTGAAAAGATGCGGAGACCAATGGTACCACTGCAGATGTGCAGGGACAGTGCATACTCTGTACAGCCATCTGGCAGCCTGGCGCGGATGCCATGTCCTCCTTCTCCCTCACCTTGGACACACAGCCTCCAGGTCTATTTAATTGTCTACCTCAGGTGCCTACTGAGTCCACAGTTCACCATGGCTCCCTCTACCATGAGCCCTCATCTCCTCCCTACAGGGAGTCTTGCCTTTACACTGCTATCAAAGGCATCCTTCAGAAACACAGAGGGGATGGTGTGATTCCTGAGATTTCAATCCTGTTCACCTTTGATTCTAGGACAAAGTTCACATTTCTTGTGATTTGGCTCTGCCTACCTCTGCAGCCTTGTCACTCATCGCTCTCCTCTACAAACAGCTCACCAGGGCCCCACCCACAAAACTGTCCACACTGGACATTCTCAATCAAAATTTCATGACTTAAAGAAGTCAAATAAGTTCTGTGAAATCACTTATTGTGATTTGAGGTATATAGCCTTTTTTAAATTACATTAAATATGTTGAAAATTTATGAGAATATAGTTTTAGAAATGTCACTGACCAATCTTAACACCCTTGCAGTGAATTAAAGTTGTTTAAATACTTCATCTGTTTGAAACATAAGAATTTACCTTTCAACTTTGAAAGTTTTCGGGCTTCTGACTCCCCAATAGAATTACTCTCATTAAATTGCTGATATAGTCTTGAATGCTGAAAGCTTATGAACTTCTCGGCTTTGGTATAAATGACAAGATCAGATAGGGCCATAGCCACTTTTACCTATGTGGTATAAAAATAAAATGCAGAAATTTCATATTTTTGCAATAAATCATTTGAAAAATTCCTTTTCCAATAAAGAAAATATGCTTTCAGATCAATTATATGAGTCTTTTCATAATATTATCTCCTCAAAAACCGTTTGGAATGCATCAGTGTGATTATTTTGTATTCAATGTGATTGAATAGTATTTAATGTTAACATGAGACAGCATACATTTAAAATCCCAACTAACGTAGTAAGTATTGAAGATGACAATTATTACTATTTCCTTTTTCCCAAAGATCTGTTTATTCTTGTGAATTTTGCAACTTGAGGATATTTAGTCATGAGTAAGTATATGTCCAATATGATCTAACATTTGGGAATAACTTCTGCTGTATGGTACACATTTATTCTTTTACATGTCAGCAACTAGACCTTCTACACCTCTGCTATCCCCTTCCCAAGTTTTGTTTTGGGAAAACATTCAATCCATGGGCTTAAGTATTGATAATGTGGCTCAGACCTGGCTAATCAGAGCTTTGCAGTTCCCTAGCAATAGCATTTGACTCTGGGCTGTGCCCATAACTTGATTAGAGCCAATGCCCAAAAACATTCTCTTTGTCATGTGAGAGATAAGTAGGTCTTCCATTGGATTGAGCCTGAAAGCATCTGAAGCTAAAGCTTTGGAGAAGTCTTGCACCAATGTAGAGAAAGTGGATCCAAAGTTAGAGAAAGAAAGTTCTGTGGACTTTGCTTGAGATATTATACCACGTAATTCCTGAAATCTGAACCCCTTTCCCTGAACTTTTCATTGATGTGGGCCAATTAACTAATTCACATTTTACTTAAACCAGCTGAATTAGTTTAATGTCACTTGCAACCCAAGATACCTTCTTTTGTCATGCTAATTTGTATACTTATAATCTATATATTATAATGGTGATTTTCTTGTCTCTGACAGTATGGTCTCCTTGAGGGCAGAAATATTATGTTGTTTGTATTTTGTACATTGCACAATGCCTAGTACATAAAAATGCATAAAATTGGACCATTAAGAAAACATTAAAAACAGCCAGCAGCACCAGTGGCTCAGTTGATTAGGTGTCTGACTTGATTTCAGCTCAGGTCATGATCTCATGGGTCATGAGATCAAGTGCCTGTCAGGCTCCACGCTCAGTTGGGAGTCTGCTGGAGAGTCTCTCCCTCTCTCTCCCTCTGCCCCTTCCCCCACTCTTGCCCTACTCTCTCTTTCTCTCAAATAAAGAAATAAATTTAAAAAAATAAAAATAACACATATAACTTTAAAATATTCTTTTCCCATGTTAATTTTTTCTAAACAAGTTTTAAATGAAAGACTAGAATTTTTAGAAGGAGAAAAAGATTTTTCCCTCAAAAAAAAAAAGTTTAATTCTCTACCAGTAAGAAAATAAAACAACTTTTCAATCACTTATAAGATTTTCACAAAGTATCATCTCACCCTCCTTCTCCTGAAAAGTGGTAATCCAGCTGCATTAATTGCCCCTGCTTCCTTCTGTGAATCATCTTCTAAAATAGCCAATGCTTTTGATTCTTTGATTTCATCATCCACATCTTGATCTATCTCTTCATATTCTTCTACCTGACCATGCTTATCAGAACCTTTTCTTTCACGGGTTTCCCTTAAGGATCCTATTTTCTTGTTTCTAACTAATATTTTGAATTTTAAGGCCTACAGAAACGATTTGAAAGAGAGATACAATTACACATTTACAGGGAAGTTTGCATTTGAACAGTCATTGAAAAGTCTTTCACCATGTTTTCAGTTAGCCCACAGTAGTAAAATATGTAAGAACTCCATCTTTTTCCATACTCCTATAATACCTTAATAGAAACCAGTGATATTATAGTATTGACCAAAATTTACCCCAAAATAAGCCTGTTATATGATTGGGACTTACTATGGCTCCATTTGTTTTACTTTCCAAAAATTCCTAGTATTTTAAAAAATTGACATACATGAAAATTATATGTGTATATATATATATGTATACACATATTGTATATATGTATAATTTATATATATTTATTTATAATACATTTTCTATATTTTTATATATATATTAAAATGCTCGAAATGCTATAAAAGAATGTTACAACTTCTGGTAGTAAATGCTTCAGATCATTACTTTGTTATCCAACATTAAAAAGTATTAAATGAAATCAGGTATTCAAAAATGTCTATTGTAATGTTTGACACCTAGAATAGACTAAATTTAAGTTAAAGATTTGCAAATCTTCTTCATATTTCAACTGTATTGGCCACAAGCATCATCAACTCAATATTTCCTGTCCATCAAAACAAGGATCATGGCAAAATTGACCATCAGAGTCACTCATTCTAAATCCAAAGACTTCCAGTTCCTTTCTTTCCCTTACTTATCCCTGCCCTTTTCAACTATTAATTAATTTATCAACGTACTTTTTTTTTTCTAAGGAGGCTCCACACCGAATGTGGGGCTTGAACTCATGACCCTGGGATCAAGAGTTACATGCTCTACTGACTGAGCCAGCCAGGCACCCCTATCAATGTACTTATTAAATGCCTGTTATGTTTAATATATAATGCTGCTGAAATCTGGACTATGAAATAAAGTTCTTTTCTTCAAGGAGTTTGATTTGTCCATTCCCTTTACTATTCTCAGGTACCCACTCGAATTATTCCATCACATTAGACCTTCTCTCTATTACTATGGCCCTTATATTACTCTCTAATATGGAGCTTACCAAAGTGCACTATGCAACCACATTCATCAAAAGCATCACCTGGGCTCAGTCAATTAAGCATCCGCCTCTGATTTGGCTCAGGTCATGATCTCAGGGTCATGGAATCATGCCCTGCATCGGGCTCCACACTGAGTAAGGAGTCTGCTTAAGATTCTCTCTCTACCTCTCCCTCTCCCCCTGCTCTCTCTCTCTCTCTTAAATAGATAAATAAATCTTAAAAAAAAAAAATCATTACCTGGAGTGCTTGTTAAAGGAACAGATTCCTGGGATCTACTTCAAAATTAAAGAATCAGAATCTTGAGTTGTAGGACTGGAATTATGCCACTTTAACAAGTCTCTAGGCAATTCTTTTGTACCCCAGTGACCAAGTGAGGAATGAGAAAGGACTCTATCTCCAATTCCTCATTTAGTCATTGAAAAGCATTCCCTTACTTTAGTACAGAAGCAAAAACGTTAATGAAAACTACATATCTGGATGCAGAAAGTTGATTTATAAATAGGAGGAGGAATCTTATTCCTAGAAAACTATACATTGTTATAATTTCCTGAATTAGACCATTAGATTAAACCTTAGATTACATCTTTGATTAGATTAAATATTTGATGGTATGTTTCCAGCACGTTTCACAAGGTCTTTAATCTCTTTTCTGTCATAATTGAGCACATTTAGTTGTGAGCATTCTCATGGGGTGAAAGAGTCAGTTTTTCCATCTGTTCAATTTTTTTTGTTCATTTCAATACTATCATGATTCTTATACTTCTCATCACCAGTGTCACAACTTTCGTCTTTAAATTTTCCACTCATCTAAATAAAATATGGAAAAATATAAAGGAAAATATTCAAATATTACAAAAACACTGCTCTAAATACCAAAATGATGACACGTCAAAATGAAACTATTGATTGTTAGACAATCATGCAAAAAAAAAAAAAAAGTGTCATGCAAAAAAAAAAAAGGTTCGCTCTTCTATCACCTGATGAAATTTGGGGTGAGGAGACTAGGCTGGCAGAAGAAACTAAGAAAGACTGGCCAGAGAGGGAAGAGGAAAACCTAAAAAATATGGTATTACAGAAGAAAGTGTTCCAAGGAAAGGAAGGAGGTTTCCCAGTATTGAATGTTGTGACGGAAAGAAGTCAGATGGTGACTGAAATAGGTCTGTTAGAATTTACTGGTAGAAAAGTCTCTGATGACAATGAGAAACTTACTGAGATGCAGGTGGAAGAAGAAGCTCATTAGGTTGTGAGGAGATGAGAAAGTGGAAATTTGGGTTGAAACAGAGAATAATAAAGAGATAGCTGAAGAGAAATCGAAATCATGAGGCTAGTGTGGGAGTGCTTTTTTAAACCAAGTATTTGAGTATGCTCAGTTGAAGATGGAAAGGATCCCGTAAGAGACACGGAAACTGAAAAGAGCAGATTTAAAAAAAAAAAAAAAGGGAAGGGAAGGGGCACCTAGGTGGCACAGTCAGTTAAGCATCTGACTCTTGGTCTCGGCTCAGGTGGTGATCTCAGGGCTGTGAGATTGAGCCTTGCAGGGGGCTCCACACTCAGTGCAGTCTGCTTAGATTCTTTCTCCCTCTGCCCCTCCCCCAATCTCTTTCTCCCTCTCTCCCTCTCAAGTAAATAAATAAATTTTTTTTAAAAGGGGGTGGGGCAAGCCACCCAGATGCTAAGGAACTGGACACGGACTCTATTAATAACCTAGATCTTTGCCTCTTTCTTCGCCTTTGCCTATAAAACATACCAAAGTCCTGTGGCCTAATATTAACTGACTTGAAATTTTGGACTCATGGGGTGTGGCACACAATAAAAATGTGAGTTTTTACCTATATCCCTATATATTCTCTTTATCAACATACATTTACCTAGATGCTCACGGGAACATTTCCCAGGCAACACATTGCAAAGATACACCTCTATGCATCATCAAAACTAAGCATTTTCATTGATTTCTCACCCAGTTTTATTGATCAATATAATAGTGACATGCTTTTTCTTTTTTTATAAACCTGGGCTTCTGAGACAAAAGGTTACCTTTGGTGAAGGTAGTTTGTCTGGATAATCATCAAGCATATCAGAAAGCAAGGCATCTCCAAAAACAGACTGCAAAATGTCTGCCATCACTTCTTGTTGGGAAGGTGAGCAGTGGTTTTCTAAAGAGAGCACCACTGGGTAGTCAGATGTCTAAAAAATTAACCATTGCTACGGTTATTGATCAGAATGCCTCAGTGATTTTAATGCAATTAATAGAAACAGTTCATCTATTTTAAAACTTACATTCAATGTTCTGTACTTTTGCAAAATAAGTATTCTTTAAACTGAAATTACTTTTGATTTTGACATAACAGGGAACATTAAATCTGTATGAAAAGGAAGATTATTACTATTTATACTAGAAATATAGGAAACAATTGAAGCATCCAACAGTAGGTATTTGTTTAAATAAATTATGCCACGTCCATTTAAAGGAATGATATAAGTCTGGTAAGAAGGAGGTAAAGCTATATATACTGCTATAGAAAGTTATCTATGATATCGTCTTAGGAGGAAAAAACCAAGTTGCTAAAGAGTAAAATTCTACATTTTAATGGTTTAAGCATATATATATTTGCTTACCATATATATTTATTTATTTAGAATTTTTAAATGTGAAGGAAACTTTAACACAGAGAAGTTAGAGGAGATGTTAATTTTCTACTTTTTTAGTCAAAGTCTATAATCAAAACTCATGGCTTTATAATTAGAAACAAAGATAAAGATAATAATAAAGAGAATCTATTAAGTAAAGATGGCTTTACAAAGATATTTTCTGCCATTTGTCACACAAAATAGAGAAACCACATTCATTTGGAGTCTCGTTTAAAATTATTTTCTTTATTTTGTTTCCTATATACTTACCAGGACACAAATTTACCAACTTGTAAACAAGCCAAGGACTTGCAAGGCCTGTTGCATTATCATAGACCTTTGAATAGGAGATACAATATTCTTCCTTTTTAATGTATGAGTATATTGGTTTCTTGTGGCTGCTGTAGCAATCGACCACAAACTTGGTGGCTTGAAGCAACAGAAATTTATTCTTTCATAATTCTAGGGGCCAACCTATAAAAGCAGTTTCACTGGCTAAAATCAAGGGAGCAGCAGGCTCTAAGGGAGATCTATTCCTTCCCTCTTACAGCTTCTGGTGGTTGCCAACCTTTGTTGGCTTGTGGCTGTGTCACTCCAATCTCTACCCCTCATCTTTAGGTTGTCTCCTCTTTGTGGCATTTGGGCCCACCCAGTAATCCTGGATAATCACCTTATCTCAAGGTCCTTGATTTCATCCATCTGCAAAGACTCTTTTTCCAAATAAAGTAACATTTACAGGTTCCAAGAAGTAGAACCTTTGTGGGCCCTTATTCAGCCTACTACAATAACCTCATATATACTCACATACATATAAATGCCCTAGTCTAATATCAAGAGAACATTGTAAAATTTTTTCCCAAATATAAAAAATGATTTTGAAAATAGGCAAAGTGATGGCCTCCAGACAGATTTCTCAATTAGACCCTGACACTCATTGGGGAAAGTTCATCTTTTTTGAGGGGGGAGGGGGGTCTTCTGTGGTCTTTGGCTCCACCTTCAGGGAAGGTCCTCTTGTCTTATCTTGGGCCACATTTGAAGTATGTATTGAGGAGTTTGCTTTCCTTAATACCAGGCTACCTTTGCAGCTCACTTCTTGACCAAGGGTTGTTTTAAGGCTCACCTAAGAATCACACTTGTGTTTTATTTTGCCATGTTGTGTCATGCTATGTTTTGGCAATGTAATTCCCTTAAAATGTTAGACTCCTTACATATACCCACAGTTCTTTCCTAGTCATAATTATCATCTATTTTATTTTATTGCTCTCTCTTCCCCAAATTAATGGTGACTATCTTGAGTAGAAAATTCAACCTTCATAGAGAAGAACACAGACAGCAACCTCTGTGTCCTCAGCTGCAGCAACTTCTTGCTAGACACGTCTCCAAAGGCAAGGGAAACAAAGGCAAAAATGAGCTATGGGGACTTCATCAAGATAAAAAGCTTTTGCACAGCAAAAGAAACAGTCAACAAAACCAAAAGACCACCGACAGAATGGGAGAAGATATTTGCAAATGACATATCAGATAAAGGGCTAGTATCCAAAATCTATAAAGAACTTATCAAACTCAACACCCAAAGAACAAATAATCCAATCAAGAAATGGGCAGAAGACATGAACAGATGTTTCTCCAAAGAAGACATCCAAATTGGCCAACAGACACATGAAAAAATGTTCAACATCACTCAGCATCAGGGAAATACAAATCAAAACCACAAGATACCACCTCACACCAGTCAGAATGGCTAAAGTTAACCACTCAGGAAACACAGATGTTGGTGAGGATGCAGAGAAAAGGACACCCTCTTACACTGTTGATGAGAATGTAAGCTGGTGCAGCCACTCTGGAAAACAGTATGGCCGTTCCTCAAAAGGTTGAAAATAAAGCTATCCTTTGACCCAGCAATTGCACTTTTGGGTATTTACCCCGAAGGTACAAATGTAGTGATCCAAAAGAGCACCTGCACCCCAATGTTTATAGCCAAACTATGATAAGAGCCCAGATGTCCATCAACAGATGAATGGATAAAGAAGATGTGGTATCTATATACAATAGAATACTACTCAGCCATCAAAAAAATGAAATCTTGCGATTTGTGATGACGTGGGTAGAACTAGAGGGTATTATGCTAAGTGAAATAAGTCAGTCAGAGAAAGACAACTATCATATGATCTTGCTGATATGTGGAATTTAAGAAACAAAACAGAGGATAATAGGGGAAGAGAGGAAAAAAATAAAACAAGATGAAATCAGAGAGGGAGACAAACCATAAGAAACTCTTAAGCACAGGACACAAACTGAGGGTTGTTGGAGGGGACAGGGGTGGGGGGATGGGGAACTGGGTGATAGACATCAAGGAGGGCATATGATGTAATGAACACTGGGTATTATATAAGACTGAGGAATCACTAACTTCTACCTCTGAAACGAATAACACATTATATGTTAATTGAATTTAAATAAAAAATAAATAAATAAGAATATACACAGATATTATTCCACTTACATAAAGTATAAAAACAGGAAAACTTAATGTGTGGTATTAGAAGTCAAGACAGTTGCCAGCTCTTGTTTGGGGGTTAATGACTAGGAAAGGCACGAGAAAGATCTCTGGCTATTGGTTATGTATGTTCAATTTGTAGAAAGGTATCAACCTGTATGATGTTGATTTATATACTTGTACATAAATATAATACAGATTATATTTCAATAAAAATTTTGTAAAAAATGAAAGGTGGGAGTGAAAAATAAATAAATATATGATAAAATAAAATAATGTAATATAATCTTTCAAAAAAAAAAAAGAAAATTCAATCTTTGATCTAACCTTTGCTACAAAACTGAGTCACCCTGTTCAGCTGAGAAGTTTCATTGAGTCTTTGTTGTTCAAAACCTTTTTTTCATTCCATCTCTTTCTCTTTGAGTCTTAGAAGCTGTAAGGGTTTCCATACTTTCAAGGTCTTTGAATTTTTAGATTGCCTCTATTCCCTCAGTTACCCACCCTGAAGGATGGGAGAGGGCTTGCTATGCAAGTATTTGGGAAGTGTTTTGGACAAAAGGAACAGGGAGTTTAAGGGCTTTGAGCTGTGTCTGAAAAAGAGTAAGGATGCCAGAATGGCCGTGTGAACAATGGAGACACAAGTAGGAGTCAGAGGTAACAGAAAACAGGTTAAACGTGTATTTCAGTTCATATTTTGAGTGGGATTGAAGGTTTTGAGAAGGGGAATGACATGATTTGGCTTACCAAAAAGTCACTCTGACTGAAACATTGAGATGAAACTGCAGGGGAAAGGGAAAGAAGGGGTTAATTGCAATAATCCAAGTGAGAGGTGATGGTAGTTGCCCAGGACAGTGACAGTGAGAGTGGGGAGAAGGGGTTAAGTTCAGTATATATTTTGAAAGTAGACCCACAAGGATATACTAAAGAACTTATTGAAGGGTTGGAGAGAAATGAGGTGAGAAGGGTTAAAGTTGATAATGATTTAGGCTTGAACACAGGAGTTACCAGTAACTGAGATGGGGAAGACCATGAGAAGAGCAGACCCGGGCGGAAGAGGAATATCTGGAACTCAGTTCTAAGCATGTTAAGTTAAATATGCCAGTTAAATATGCAAGAGGAGAGGGGTGCCTTTGTGGCTCAGTCGTTAAGTGTCTGCCTTTGGCTCAGATCATGATCTCAGGGTCCTGGGATCAAGCCCCGCATCGGGCTCCCTGCTCAGCGGGAAGCCTGCTTCTCCCTCTCCCACTCCCCCTCTTGTGTTCCCTCTCTCGCTATATCTCTCTCTGTCAAATAAATAAATAAAATCTTAAAAAAAATATATGCAAGCGGAGATATCCAGGACATACTTGTCTATGTTGGTATAGAGTTCAAGGGAGAGATATAAATTTAGAAATCATTAGAAATTAAATGTTTAAGAGAATCAATGCCAGGGCGCCTGGGTGGCTCAGTCGTTAAGCGTCTGCCTTCGGCTCAGGTCATGATCCCAGGGTCCTGGGATCGAGCCCTGCATCGGGCTCCCTGCTCCGCGGGAAGCCTGCTTCTCCCCCTCCCACTCCCCCTGCTTGTGTTCCCTCTCTCGCTGTGTCTCTCTGTCAAATAAATAAATAAAATCTTTAAAAAAAAAAAAAAGAGAATCAATGCCATGTATTAATGTTTTATACTAAAATAGAAATTTTTCATGTTTTATATGTATATTTTGTAAATTTTTAGTATTTTATACTCATATAATAAAGGAGTCGATTTAAATTTGTGATTTTTAAGTTATGTTTATATTTACAGATAATGTATTGACCTACTTAGGAGAACTTCAAGTTTATCAAATTTGTAAGTTTAATTTATTAGATATACATTGTTTAAGTACTCAGTAAGATTTTATTAAATCTCTTCAATGGCACTGCAATTGAAGTACTTAAGAAAGAAATCAAATATACTAACTTTACAAAAACAATTTAAAATGTCTGAAGGTGGTTAATTAGCCAAGTTCGTAAATAGAACCAAGTATTATTTTAAGCAGAGTGTTAAAACCCACTCAACTTATAGACTAGGATTTGTAGGCTGAATTTAGAAGCTCTCAAAAGAACTAGATCTTTGAATCTGTAACCTTAATAAATTCAACAATAATTTTTTAAAATCCAAAGTAAACTTCTAAACATTCTTTGCTGTATGAATTGCTGCCATCATAGTCACAAAACTGTCAACAATCTATACAATACATTGTTGACATATTTTATTGTGCATTTTGAAAGTAAAGTACTTGAATGTTGGTAAAATATTTACTATTATATAGACCAGTATTTCTCAAATTTTTTTTGGCCATAACTCACAGTAAGAAATATATTTTACATTGTAACACAATACACACACACACACACACACACATAATTAAACAAAAAGTTCCCTGAAACATTCATCCCACTACTTGAGATTAACTTTGATAAATCTACCTTTAACTACATACTACATAGATCATAAAACACCATTTGAAATATCACTGATCTAAACTAAGGGCGAGCATTATAGGATTTTGAAGCAAGTAAATTATATTGTGCTTAGATAACTATAACAAAGATACGCACGTACTATGAATGCATATTTCTGTATCGATTGGATAACAGTTTTAAACAGAATCTTGCTGGTGAGTGTATAACCATGGTATACAACAGGTTCATTTCGTGATCCATCCCAGCAGTCAATTTCCAGACAGCGACATCCTTTCACAAGGGCACTAGCAAAATTGAAACAAAATAAATTGTCATTTCTGGATCACCAAAAATGTATGCTATAGTATCAAAATATCCCAAAAATTATTTGTGATTTTGCAACAAATGCATAACAGAAGCCATAAAAAAGACAAGTAGTTGCGTTGAACTGAACACAATTTCCTTCTTTTCTGTGAGCACAGCCCAACATGGAAGTAACATGTGCCAGCCACAGTTTCAGCACCACCAAGATGGTGCAATGTGGAGTTCTGGGGACTGTGAATCCTGCAATTTCTCCCTAGTCCTTGCGCTCTCATTTCTACAAGGGCAGGAACTAAAATTTCAGCCTCATAAAAAAATGTTTTCTAGATATAGTTCATGATCAATAAACATTTATTGTGTTTTTATTAGGAAAGAATGGGAATTCTAGAGATGTAAGAAAACAAGTGGCAGGCAGACAGAAGTGATCTCCTAAAATAGAATCTTGGAAGAGAAACTGAATGAAAAGAGGGCTGACTTGAGACATCAGGATTTTAGAATTGACAGCCATGTATCAGGAAGTAGATAGAAGAAGCCCGCTGCTATACTTGAAGATCTTTTTCCCAGAGAAAACCAAGTTAACACTTGTTTTCCAGGAAGTATATTGAGTTATCCCACTGTGTCTAAGCCAGTGGTTTTCAGTCAGGACAATTTTAACCCCTAGGAGACATTTGGCAATGTCTGCAGACACTTTGGGTTGCCACACCTGGTAATGGGAAGGAAATTTGTAACTGGAATCTAATTCATAGAAGCCAGTGTTCCTGCTAAACATTCTACCATGCACAGGACCAGACCCCCACAGCAAGGAACGATCTGACCTCAAATGTGAAGATTTGAAAAACCCTACCCTAAACCATAACAGGAAAAGGGAGTGTGGTCCCAACACCAAGTACTTGATAGAAAATCAGTAGGTCTCCCAAACAGAAACAAAGGGACCATATGAGAAAATAGACCTTTTAGATCTAACACTCCTTGGGGGATCAAATTTAGTCACCTTTCTAAGGATATGACTCAAGCAATAGTCAGGGACAAGTGTTAACTGAGCAAAGATAAAGCAATTACGACCCCCAAATCCAGGTGCTGAATTCAGAAAATAAAGAGATCTTATGCTCCTTTGGGAATAATATGGATGAAAGATGGAGGGAACCCGAGGAGGTAGAGCATTAGAGGGGAAGGATATCTCGTCTATCTTGGAGGCTTCACCAAAACAGTGCAAAATATAAAATTAAATAATTAATAAATTTTTTTGAGTTTTTTGGAGGTTTGTTTTTTAAGACCATTTTTGTTTTACTTTTTAAGTGCACACGGCTTTATTCAGGTATATAGTTATGCACTATAATGTAAAATTTCAGAGTTTTGTTAGTCTGCTTCTCCTTGTGTTGGAGAAATGACCTAGTGTGCTCTTCTAAGAAAATTTTGTTTACCCATTGATATTTCCATGGGTGAATTAGGTGATAATCTAATTTACGTACAAGTCCTGAACTGGGCTATATTTGTAGAATTCAAAATGAATGTATTTCTCTTCTCATCTTGTGGATTTATTTACATATTTAGATTTTAAATTGGAGAAGAAGCAATATCTATTCGTAAACTTTATTAATTGCCATTAAAAAATGTTTGCATCACTCTCCTCTTAGTTGATTGTCAAAGTAAATTATCTTGCCTTTTTTTTATCACTACAAAATATCAGTCCTCTGGGCTGTTACCAGAGAATAATATTGAACGTTCCGCGGGGAAAACAAAAAAAACTGCCAAAAACCAAATTGTGAAAGAAAACTTTCCATGAAGGACAACCTAAATAATACTGGTTCTTGCTACTTCTCTAGATAGCTTTAATTTTATCCTTAGATCAAGCCAACCTTTACCGAACTGTTTATTTCCATTACATGGTTTGGTCCCCGGCAAAAATGATTTGAGTGGATTTCACTGTGTCAAGCCAACTCCTTTTATTCAGAGACACATAAAAGAAAGTTGTGTCTCCCCCAGTGGTGTTAGGGAAGCCACTTTCTACTATTTCACACTGAATCCCCTTTTAGGAAATGAATAATAGAAATGTCTCTGTCACTCAGTAAAAAAAAAAAAAAAAAAAAAAAAATTCCACTTAAATAAGTTTAAGGGGCTTTTCATGGATTAAAATATTTAATGCTATAAGGCAGTTAATATTAGTCTTCCTCTTTTAGAGATGAGGACTTTGAGAATCAAAGAGATTGGAGCTGGGGCGCCTGGGTGGCTCAGTCCTCAAGCATCTGCCTTCAGCTCAGGTCATGATCCCAGGGTCCTGGGGTCGAGCCCCACGTCAGGCTCCATGTTCAGCGGGAAGACTGCTTCTCCCTCTCCCATTCCCCCTACTTGTGTTCCCTCTCTCGCTGTGTCTCTCTCTGGCAAATAAATAAATAACCTTAAAAAAAAAAAACAAAGAGGTTGTAGCTGACACATAATTAACAAAGGACGGAAAGAGAGGAAAGATCAGCACCAGAAACTTTGCGTTAATCGATCGTTACATTATACCACCTCTCCTATGTAGAGAAATTTTGAAAAACTTGCATTCTAAGAGTGTATCTTCCACAAGTGGGTGGAAGAAATACAATTAAATTTAAATACAATTAAATTAAATTAAAATTTAAATGTTTAATTGGGCAGAATATTTTCTTCATTCAAAAGCAAATTTTCTGCATTTCTAAGTCAACTTGACTAAAATGCATTTTTTCCCTTTTTAAAAAATTAATTAAGTATGAGTAGAAATTTCTGTAATGAAAGTATAGCTATGAATTGGGTTATCCTTATGGAATTCTAAATGGACACATTTCTGAGCTCATGAATTCATGTGTTTACCTAAGATTTTAAATTGGTGAAGCCATGTTCATTTGTAAGTTTAATATTATCATGGAATTATGAGATATCTTTTCCACCCATGATATCCTTAATTAATGTCAACCAATCACATAGCTTTGAATATCATCTGTGTATTGATGACTTCCAATTCTATTTTTCTAGTCTAGATATTTCTTCTAAGTCCCAGACACATATACTTACCTGACTGACCTAGCCCTTTGACAATGAATTGGTATCTCAACTAAATGTGGGAACTGTTACACTCTTGCTTTTGCCTCACAACCTAGAATGGCCTCAGCAGGCTTCACTATCTCTGTCAATAGTATCATTGTACGCTAAGTTATCAGACCAAAAATCTTGATAGTATTCTCTTTCACTTATACCTCCCTTCAGATCACCTGGTAAGCCTTCTTGGCTCCACCTCCTTAAAATATTTCAAATTCAACCACTGATCTCAACAGCTGCCTCATGAATTCATCATCTACATAACCATCATCAGCTGCATTGCTACAATATCTTCTCTAGTCATCTTCTACCTCCACTCCTACACCATCAGTCTTTCCTGCACAGTAGAAAGTAAATCGAATTATGACATTTTAAGGAAAACCTCTCCAATGGCTTCCCAATGCAACTGGAATAAAATCCAGTCTCCTTTCCATGGCCTCTAAGACCTTCATAAACTGACCCTGTCTACTTCCTCAAACTCATCTCCCTTCATTCTCCATTCATTTGTTTCCAGCCAAACTTGCTTTCTCTCATTTGAATATGCCTAAGCATTTATTATTTCTTCTACTTAGTGTGCCCTTCCTACCAAATATTTCTGAGGTTTCCTCTTTATCATCACTCAGACCAAACTATGTGACCCCTTGAGAATCCTTTCTTGACACTTTAAATAAAGTAACACCCTCCACCCCATCTTTACTTTCTCTCATGTTACCTTAGTTTACTTTCTCCATGTGACTAATCTGTCCTTGAAAATATCAATCTGTTTACCTGCTTATGATGTCTATTCTCATGAACACATGAGCTCTGAAAATCTTGTTCACCAATAGATTCTCAGATGACTGCCTAAGCTGAAGCCTGGTATTGACAGTGTGATACATTGTAGAGTGCAAACTTCGAGGTGTGGCATAGATTGCTTAATCTATGTAAATCATTTGACATATAAATCTCTATATTTATCTATCTAATCTATAAATGCCAAAGTATATAATTTATCTATTTATGTGTTGCCTTTACTTGTAGATGGTGTCTTGATGTCTGGGAAATAATTTTAACTATATTTTTTAAAAATCTAAGATGTTTTGGGGCACCTGGATGGCTCAGCCGTTAAGCGTCTGCCTTCGGCTCAGGTCATGATCTCAGGGTCCTGGGATCGAGCCCCACATCGGGCTCCCTGCTCGGTGGGAAGCCTGCTTC